TTGATGCCTTTGAGTTATGGTGTTGGAGGAGAATATTGAAAGTGCCATGGACTGCCAAAAGAACCAATAGATCCGTTTTGGAAGAAGTGCAGGCAGACTGCCCCTTAGAGGCCAAGATAGCATGAGCCCACATCACCACACCATACAGATTTAGAGCACTGGAAACCCTATACAGGGTCACTATGATTTGGAACCGACTCCACGGCACATTACCACCACCACCGCTGCCACCATATGATGTGGAAGTTGGACAATGAATAAAGAAGACTGTAGAAAAATTGATACATTAGAGTTATGGTCTTTCCAAATAATATTAGAAGCACCATAGACTCCCAGAACAATAAACAAATCTGGGTTGGAAGATGTACAGCCAGAATGCTCTTTAGAAGCCAAAATGGCAAGACTTTGTCTCTCATATTTTAGACATATTATCAGGAGTATCGGGCTGCGAACCTTAAGGTCAGCGGTTCGAAACTATCAGCCGCTCCGCAGGAGAAAGATGAGGCTTTGTACTCCTGTAAAGATTTACACCCTCGGAAACCCTGTACAGGGTCGCTATGGGTCGGAACCGACTCGACGGCACTTAACAACAATAACCAGTCCCCTGGAGAAGGATATCATACTTGACAAAATGGAGGGTCAGCAAAAAAGAGGAAGACCTCCCAATGAGATGGCCTGGCACAGTGGCAGCAGCAATTGGCTCAAGTGTAACACTGCAAAGATTGTTCAGGACTCAGTAGTGTTTAGTTCAATTTTGCATTGGGTTGCCAAGAGTTGGAACCAACTGGACAGCACCTAACAACTCAACAGCGCCTAGAAACAACAACAACAAACAGGTAATGTTACAACATTCTTCTTAGTAAAATAATTTCTAATAATGAATGCAAAGAGAAAAATAGAATTAGAAAATCAGCATTTTTCAATCCCTAATGAAATAACTTGGTTTGGTGCTTCGAGATAGTGTGCTAAACTTCAAGGCTGGTTTGAACTTCAAGGTCAGTGGTTCAAGCTCAACAGCCACTCCTCAGAAACCATAGACAGAGTTGCTATGAGTTGGAACAGACTTAACAGCACTTAACAATAACAATAATGAAATAACAGCATATGTCTGCTGATATAATGCAACAAGAAGCACATGGCATCATTTATATGAACCTGAAACTAATCAGGTCTTTGAATCAAAATGCAGGAGCTACAGGAATAATTAAATGACATCTCAAGGATGTGTTCAGCCACATTCAGAGTATGGGAAATTTACCGAACAAATGATCTGGTTTCTTCAAAGAAATGCCACAGGAGAAAATAGCTGACTGCTATAGATTGAGACTTAAGTGACATATAAATCAAATCAATATGTGGACTTACTTGTATTTTAATTCAAAAAAGCCAACTAATAAGAAAAATTTAACACGGAATGAATATTGTTGTTAAATGTTGTTGAGTCGCTTCTGATTCATAGCAATCTTCTGAGGAGTGGTTGGTGGGTTGGAACCACCAATCTTGAGGTTCAATATGACCTTGTGGTCCAGTGCTTATCCTACAGTGCCACACCAGGACTCCTGAATGGATAGTATAGTTTTAAATAATTGTAATTCATGTTTTGTAATTATATGTTTAAATGTCACTTATTAGCAATATTGTTGTGCTATTTATAGATAAAATTACATCATATCTGTTACTTCCTTTTAAATACTCCAGTGAAAATAAGAAGTGGTGGTATATGAAGCATGGTTGGCTATTGCTAATAATTGCTGGTACTTTGGGATATTGTACACAGTGGTGCACTTTTAGGGCTTCAACAATATTTCATAAATAAAGAACTTACCCCATCTCTGGCTTTCACCAAAAGGTCATATGTGGCTGGATCTCTCTCCCTGTCGATATCTAGAGAAATGCAGATTCGTCCATCGTGTGGGTCAATCTGGAATGCCTGAGGTGCTCCATAGCTTTGGAATCCATCATAAAGAGAATATTCAACAAAGCCATAGAGGCCTGCATCTGCATCCGTGGCTTTCACCTGTGAGAAAGAGGTTTTTCAATCAGGAAGTCAAATGCGAATGGTAATTTTCAGTTAGTCATAAAATATTTTAATGTACGCACAGCCAAGTAATCACCATTTATTCATAAAAGTTAGGCTTTGGTGTTTTGTTTTTTAATATAATATGATATTTATAAAATAAAGTACAAACAAATCACATTTATGCTTGGACTATGTCTTGGGTCCATGGCTTTACCACATTAATCTTGTCCAATAAATTATGTATAAAGATGTGAAAACTTATAATAGGTAAGATATTTATTTCTAGTTACAAACATTACTGTACATAAATAAATAAATCTAGCACTGATTTAAAGTTTCTTTGAGACAAAGTATTTACCCCATAAGTTAGTAATTAGGGACTAATATGGACCCACAACATTTACAACTTTAGCTGTATCTACTGTTTTTTTTTTAAACTTTTTTTGTGAATTGAGTGATAGTTTACATGGGAGAGAGAACATTGGTTTTACACTCATTTCATTGCAATGCTTACAGTCCACTGTGTGCATAATTATTCAATGGTAGTTGCTTCTATTCCTTATGGTGTTTTTTTTGTTGTTGTTGTTGTTGTTTTGGGAGGAGGGGAGGTACACAAAAACACTCAGGAATATATAAGCATTTAAACAACCAAAGGACACATTCTGCAAGCCTGCCTCCTGGCCACAAGCACACAGCCTTTCTTTTTCCATGAGTCTAGAGTTCTTAGCTGCTCTATTTCTCCATGTCAATATCTCTGCCTCCATCTCTGGTATCACTGCTTCTCTGGATTCCGCTTGTGCTCTTCTCCCTTGATAGTCCTAGGGTCCTTTGTTCCAGGACTGTAAGATTATTCCCCCTTTATGTTACAAAACTTCTACCTTTACAATTATGACAATCACAATTAGTCATGACAACAATTACTCACTATTGAATCAAAAGAATCCTATGTCCATCTCCTTTCACCAGACTCATCTAGACAAGATGAAAACTATTCAGTGGGGATTCTACCTTCCCTGACACATTCTTAAACTAAACTCTCTCTTGAAAACTTGAAAGCCAGTCACTTCATTACTTTATTGCCCCCTCCCCGCCCTCCCCATTTTAGGTAGCCAATATCTAAGTTGCCTGTCCCTATCAACCATGTGTAGGGATTGGATTGATCCTTGATGTGAAGATCCCTTGCCTCTCAGTTGGTATTTTGAGCTACTACATCCACAAGTATAGGCCAAGTTCCTCAAATTGTAGCAATTTATACTTGTTTCCTTTATAGAAAAAAATTTGTTTTCCTTCTCTTGTAAAGTTCTGATCATCAAGCTATCAAAGCTAGGTTAAATGGGTACTATCTGCAAGTTTGGGTGTTCTTGTGTGTCTCCCCTCTTTTTCATTTCAGCTGGATGCTCCACTATCAGCTCTAGCCCTCCTTGGCTATGTCCTTGTCCATGGGCTCAGGAGTCCTCAGATTTCACCACACTTCACATCAACCAGTCCTTCCTCTTCTCTCTTTCATCTCCAAGTCAACGGGAGTCAAACTCGGCCCATATCTTCATTACTGCCTTTCTCCCTCTTCCACCCACCAGAAGACCAACATGGTCGCCAGCAAACTTCCATGCCTGCTCATGTGTTCCCTTTGAGTTTCAGTCTTGGAGGGGGTTTGACCTAAAGGGACTTGATTACTCCCCAGTGAACAACTTGCTTGTTCCTGTAGTAGCCAACCAGACTGAATAGGCTTTGGTTTTATATATCTGTCTCCCTCTTATCTTCTGTGACAACCCACCTTCCCTTCCTTTTCCTCCCTCCATTTTTGAGTTCTCTTCTACAGTCTCCTTTGCCCTCACCTATGATCATATTCACATGATCTCTGAAAGTTTTAGCTCCTTGAGACTCAGTCCTGGCTCAGCTTGTCTTCTTATTCCTTTCACATTACATAAGTGGTCTCGTTCATTCTCAAGGGGTTAAAAATATCCATATGGAAATGACTTGGTAACATTAAGTTGCTCTCAAATCTAAGCCTTTAAAATGATGGGTTCTCCCCCTACACACACTCATTGAGAGCAAGGGAACAGCAAAGAAATCAAGGTAGTAAGTGGTACCATTACTAGTAATCCAACCCAGTTGACTGAATTCCTAAGGAATAGAGTCTTCCAAGTCAGACTCTTTTCAAGGAACAATGCCCCAATCATCATTACTGCCAGTGGTGCAGACTGAATACTGCAGAAAAGCACCTCATCCAGAGAACATGTAGGAACTGAAACCAGACCAATAAATGCTCCACTGTGAAGTGGAGCTACCCAGAGGAATCAGCACCTTTTTCTTTGCCCTTAAGTACCATTTACACTAGTAGCTTAGCTAGTAGCAGCCCTAAGACTGGTGGTTGTGGAGGTGTGCAATGGAGCCAGTTCTGACTCATAACGACCCTGCTTAGGGTTTCTGTGGCTGTAAATCTTTACATGAGCAGAAAGCCTCATCTTTCTCCCACAGAGCGGCTGGTAGTTTCAAACTACTAACCTTAAGGTTAACAGCTCCACTCATAACCAATATGCTAGAATAAATAATTTTTTAAAAAAGACGAAGCAAATTAGATCATGAAAGCATGTGGCACTGTTGATTAATGTGATGGACTGCAAAGTCAGTTTGAATCAGAAAGTCGGTGGTTCAAGTTCACCAGCTGCTTCTCAGAGACCCTATACAGGGTACTATGGTTCAGAAGCGACTCAATGAAACTTAACAACAATAACATGGAAGTCCAGGTGTGGCACTGTAGGATAAGAATTGGACCACAAGGTCAGTTTGAACTCCAAAGTTGGTGGTTCAAAATTTACCACTCGCTCCTCAGAAACTCTATCCAGGGTCGCTATGAGTTTAAAAGGACTTCATTGCACTAAAGAACAGTGAGACATACAGTAGGCTGTATGGTACTCAAACATTTTTGAGCTCAAAAGCTTAATATAATCCTTTAAATTTATAACTCAAATAACAGTAACTGCAAACATAGCATTTCACATTAAAACAAAAAACTTTAAGGAAAAGTGACAAGTAACAGAAAAAGAACTGAATAGTATAGGAAGTTACTGCTTTTGAATAGCTTAACATATAAGAATATTGCACATTTATAACCCTATGAAGCACGAATGCTTCATATTACAGATCAGTATGTAAAGTTCAGATTGCTTAAATTACTTGCTTGGAATTACATGCTAACAGAAGTGTCAAAACTGGGATTCAAATGCAGTTGTGCACCAAAGGACACTCTCTTAATGATCACACTAAACTCCTTTCCAAATCTGACCCCATTGTCATTCTTTATTTATGGAAAAACATCTCAAGAAACTCCTGGCCTTCCTCCAATGCTAGATTTATTAGCTCATGTGTAACACCATTCCATGTAACCTCATATGCATTTGACTTTCTCACTCTGAGATCATTAACGTGAACAAAGAGGTTTTAGATTGAATTGTTAACTCTCCCTCCCTCCCCCAAATAGATGAATGCAATCGTGTTTGTGAATAGAATTGCTATATGAGAATGAGTCAAAAATT